GAAATAGTCAATTATTTATAATTTAATAAATTACTCAATAACTTACATCAATATTAACTTGGACGTAAACCAAGTAGTCAATTATTATAATTTAATAAATTACTCAACTACTTATTTTTTTATTTGAATAGTTTATANNNNAAAAAAAAAAAAAAAAAAAAACACCTTAAATAATGAAACAATATAAATTTTACATTTATACTTATTATTCACATAGGTTGTTAAATATATGATAAAATTATACCAAAATAACTATTTTATGGATTCACATTATAGTCAAATCGAAATTCTGAATAATTTTTTTTGAAATGACACTTAATTTGAAATATATATAATGTAATTTAATTATCAGTTATGTGCACCGCACGAGTTGTGTACTAATTTTAAGTAGACATTTTATGTAATTTTTGCATAATTAAAACTTTATATAACATTTTCAATTAATTAATATGTATAAACTGTATTACATATTGATTCCATATTTTTAATTTATAAATATTATAAAATTCTTTAATTTATAAATATTAATGAATATCTCTTAACCGTGCACTGCACGATAACTCATACTAATTTACATCAAATGAGCCAAACCCCACAAATTAAGTGTTTGGAGAAAAATTTCATTCCAATTATATCATTTTCCATTCCTTTATTAAATCTACCAAGCAAACTCATACATGCCCCGAGTGTCACCTTTATTATCCCCTTGGGATCCGACACTCGGGTATTACCGTGTTGCGGTCCTTTTAGTTGTTTTGTTGGTTTAGTTGTTTTAGTTAGTCTCGTTGGTTAGTTTAGTGAGTTTTATTCTAGTGTTTGCTAGCCGGGATTCTAGGCGGTCTTCGGACCTGTCCTCCCACTTTTTCAGCTGTTGGCTGCTGTGTATTCAGCCGTTGGCTGCTGTGTATTCGCACATTTGTGCATTTTGATTTATAATATTATCTATCGTTTTGGGAAAAAAAAAAAACTCATACATGCATGTAATTATCATGTTGCTTGTGGTCCATTACAAATGGAGATTGGGGGCAAAACTCGAATTGACCCAACGAAGAGCCAAGAGCCCACATGTCAGGTTATGGGCACGAAGCTGATGATAAATTTGCATTGCATTCAATATATGTGGAGCATCGCCCAACTAAACCCAATAGCCACATGGGGTTTTTAGAAGTTGGCATTAAATTCTATAACCATATATATAAGAGATATGCCTTGAGTTGGGCTGTTATCGAACCGAACCGAACTGAGCTTAAGGTGTTCGAGCTCGAGTTCGACTAATTTTCGAACATTTTCGTGTTCGTTCGTTTAGTAAACGAACGAAAAATTTCGTTCGTGTTCGTTCGTTTATTGGTTCGATACGTTCGTATTCATTTGTTTATCTAGTC